AGATAGTCTAGGATGATTGATTTGTATGATTCACTTTTTGAAGTACACATAACTCTCGGATTTAAATCCGAAGTTTCCGCATTTATTTTTTGTTAACGCCGATCTCTATGAAAAATCTCAAGTCGGAATTCGGTTTTTTAATGTTTCTAAGGTGAGCCACAGCATTCTACTAAAAAAAATAAAATCAAAGTTCATTATCTCGGCAGCAATAAGCTATTAGCCCGAATTATTTTCAGAATATTCATAGCTCTTTAGAACCAGCATGATGCCACTTAATACTAAGTCAAAAGCAGTTTGAAACTTATATATGTTCTCTCGTAAAATAACTAAAAAATATGACAAAATTTAGCAGTAATGGCTTAACTAATCAACTCACATCTCTGCTGTAAACGTGATTGGCTTTCTTTTTAACAGATAAAATTAATCAAGCATCCTATGATCGATAGAGTTGGAGAAAAGCTAAAAAATGAAAGTATCTTTTCTTTGAAAACATTCTCTTGTTAGTTAGAAGGAGAGAGAAGGGTGTGGGTGTAAAAACAACTCACACCCACACTCACATCTCAAAATATATTATTTCATCTAAAATATAATACAAATCGAAATGTTTTCTTTTGTTTGTGACAGAAAAAAGAAATAAGGAAACAAAAAAATACCTTATATTTAGTAAATAAATATGAAGACTGAAATAATATGAATGTGCATGCATAAGATCTTAAACTGCAGACTATTTAAAATCTATTGTAAATAATATTTATTTATTTAATCTTGATATTATTATGATTGAGTCTCATGTTTATACTGCAGATACAACTATTACCACTCGGTTTATTCTAAAAATCTCAACTAGAAAGAAAAGTACAGATTTATTCATAAAATTGTAAACTTGTCTATTATACTAATATGTCGTAGAAACGGGATTTTTTTATTTAAGTATGCCATTATTATCTTTAGTTGTATTTTAATATTTGGTTTATTAATTACATGTTAAACAATCTATTGTAGAAAAAGAAAATTTCTACTTGAAAATAATTCTACATGGATTCGTATAATTCAATAATAAGATTATAAGTATTAATAACAGTAGATAAAGACTATCAAACAAGAATTACAATAAGATAGCCTTTTCCGTACTTTCATTTTACTTAAATTGTTGATAAATATCACTCAACAATTCGATTTTTCTTCGACTATTTCAATAATAATTATTGTTCAAAATGAATTTTACATAGTAATCTTAATATGAATATTGTCTTTTAACGTACTTTAAAGTGTAGATGTATGAAATTAATCAGTGATAGTACTGAAATCACTATAATAAAAAAAATTCGAACTCAGTTGTATAATTAAATAAATTTATAGCTCTGTCAATACGCATATCATTGTTCTTTATGATTGCAAATTGTAATTATAGTTTAAGTATGAAGTCAAACAATAAGAGTATGAAGTATACAAGAAAAAAAGAAGTATCCTTTTTTTTTTATTTTCAATCAATGATTAATATGAGAAAGAGAATAAAAAGGGTATTTGTTATAAATAATATAAATAGTAATCTTACTAATGCACATAAATGGAAACATGATTAAAAATATTTATTGTAAAACACGATGTAAAAGAAGAGTTGAAGTCTAGACGCTAGAACATGCTGTGACAAACGTAATTCGATTTACGATAAAAGGTCATATTTCCTTATTGTATTTCTATATGAGTAAGTTAAAGGATGATGAAAAAATGTGCCCCTAAATCGATAGAATAAAACAATCTTTCTGTAGTTAGCGAGCGCAAATATATTGTGTTTAACATTTTAATATTGTAGAGATTGTGCTAGCAGCTTTTTTTCGTTAATTACAATTTGAACTAGATTATTTCATTAATTTTTATAAAACTGGTAATTATACAGAATAGGATTCAGTTTTGGAGTAGGTTGAGGAATATTTCTACATCCACATCCTAACTTTAGAATTATCAATGAAGATGTGCGTTTATTCTTTTCAATTCACTAATGGAAAAATAAAACTTTATTAACAATAAACAAGGAAAAGATAAATATCAGCAACTATGATTAAGTAACTTTTGACTTGATATGTTGACGTGGTGTTGAAAGGTATGAATGGTTTCCAACGGTGAATAATTGCTTCAGATACATAGACGGGTCAACTGTCGCAATGGTAACGATGACGGTGAAACACCATAGAGTCAATTCTTTAGTAAACATTGTTACTAACTCTTGAAGTCTGTGTAACGAAAGAAAAATAATCCCACGATTACATTACATTCTTTGTGCAAAGAAGAAAAGAAAAAAAAATGAGAATTTGCAGTTAAAAATCTTTGAGTAGATTCTAATCGAATAAAATAAAGAAAGTCTGAAAATATTGATTCATTGTCTTTTTTTACTTATTCACCTCTTGTTTATAATTTTCGTTTTGTTCTCTTTTCGACTGATCGTCAAGAGTATTGCACAATCATTTTTATTTCTATCAATGAATCATTTTTTACATTCTTTCCACAGTAAGAAGAAAAACGTAGGCAGAACGTTTATATATAAAGAATCATTGCACATTTTGCCATCTTCACTTTTGATTAGTAATCTAATTCAACTGCATACAGAAAACTGCATTTTCATTTTTTAGTTAAACTTTGAAATAGAAAGTGCAATGATAGGCAAGATCAATGCTCCAGTGAATCTCGGAGCTTGTGTCGGGTTGGGAGGAACGATAGCCGTCAATGTTCGAAGCGGTTTTCAAAGCGAAGATAACGAACTCGATCCTTATGCAGGCAAAAACTTTTTTGATGATGAAAATTTTCAAGTCGTTCTCGAACGTTTGAATGGTGGTAAGTACTTGCTATTATTCCTTCTTGAAAAATATTTATCAAAATACTCGTTGTGGCATATTCTATTCTAGGCTACGATGTGGCTCAAGATCTAATTCGTATAATGGAAGATTATTATGAAATCGAACGAACGCGTGCTCAAGCTCTTTTGTTATTCAATAAAAAATGGACCAAACATTTAAAAACTCAGTCGAGAATTTCATCATATCATACAACTAAACGTGCTCAGCTTGATACGATCCGTATTGCAAAACATCTGGCTCGTATCGATGACAATCGTTGTGATGCTCTAAAAACAGTGATTAACAATTACCGTACACTTGTCGATGAGACTTACATGCATGTCAATTTCGGACGTCGTTTTGAACATTGTCGATTTCGTGAATTTAGGAAACTCTTTAAAGATGCTCACGCTTCTGTAGTCAAATCGGAGAAAAGTCTCGATAAATTACGTGATCGAGTTTGTCGAGCAGAACAAGCTCTCTTGAATGCTAACAGAGCGGTTGAAAAAGTGATTCATGATGAAAGTTCTAACGAACGAAAGCGACTTAACAAATCAGATACTCAAATTAAATGTGAAAATCAATTGAAACAACTCAAAGAGAAAGTCGTACATGCTGAACAAAATCTTGACAATACCAAACAAACATATCGTAAGAGAGCGAAACAAATCTTTGCTCAATGCCAACAAGTGGAAGAACAACGTCTGGAACAAATTCGAGAGATTCTTCTCATGTTCACTCAGACAATACATCTACAAAAGTATGCACCCGAAATCGAACAAGTCTATGAGGAGTTGATCTCCAACATATCCACTCAACAAAACTCCTTGGAAGATCTAGCATTTTGGGCTAAAATGTATGGTATTGAGGAGGATGAAAGTGCCGCCATTTCTTTGTCAAAGGTTGAATCGCAAACAACAGTCAAGAATGTCTCTGGTGAACTCAGAAGTCCAAGAGCGTCTGTGATGGCCAACAACAGTACCATCGACAACGAACAAGAACAATCCAAAGACAGAGAAGAATTATTGGCAGCAAAAATAAGTTAGAACTTCAAGCATCTCAAGCAATACAATCAATACTAGCTCTGTTGAATTGACTATAAGAAATCGAGATAGATCTGGCTCTCAATAGAGTTTCGCTAATCAATGTGAGATGCATACTCTTGCTCGTAAATCACTAGTCAAGAACAAAGATTTGTCACTGCTTTGGCTGTCTTTTGTGTATTTTTCTTACAAAAATTTCTTTTTTTTTTTCTTGTACAATGGAGATTCATTTTGATTATATTAACGGAAATGAATAAATCAATAAATTCAGGCAATATTTTGACGCAGATTCAATGTCATCTAATTTGCTTATTGAATTATGCGAGTTTTAGACCCTAACTTGAGTTTTACTCAAAATCAAAGTGAACGGTGTTGAAAATGCTCCTAGAATTCCATTCAACAATATTAAAATCTCAGTTTATTTGAATGAAAATTTTCTTCTCCATTCGCGATCGGTTTTTTCTCTTTTCATTGAACAAAACTGTGCTTTTCTTTTTTCAACCATTCTATCCATTTATTTGAGATTGCTTTTGACGATCGAACTAGATGTGTGTGTTCTTCTCGTCCTCGCATCATGAACTTTTGAACCGATTGACACATTGAATTCTATCTCATGCATAAGAAAATCAATTGTAACTGAAAAACTTCTATCAATTTATATGCATTACTTGTGTGTTGTTTCGCGCTATCATCTATTCTTTGTATTTTACACAGATGTATTGCTATTTGTATTAAAGAGAATAATAAAATCACACCGATGTTTCTGGATCATGTCAATGAAGTGAACATTCTCGTCAAGCAGTCTTCAGAAAATGTTTCGGTTATGAAGATAACATTGACAGATTTTTTGAGGATATCATTAAGATGATGGTTCGTACCTAATTCAGTTTACCAAACTACTAATAAAACAAGGTAACTATAGTCGAGAAGAAATATTCGTCAAATGTATGCTTGACAATGAAAGAAACGCTGTGCGTCTTTTTGAAATCAATGATTTGTTAGTGACGTTGAAGCATAGAATCAGCGAGTAATATAAAGCACTAAAATATGTCGAAAGATCTCTCGAGATTTACAAAAAATACCCTGCTTTTAGGAAATTTATCCTAAACTAGCTGTGCCTTATAATAATATCAATAGCTTGTATTTATTTTGAGTGTTGACAATATGAAAAAAAGCGTGTGACAGTGGATGAGTGAAGAGAAGAAATATGTTCGTCACACCCACATTCTCTGCAGGTGCTAAATTATACCTGAATCAAGACTATGTTGATTTGATGAGCACTGGTGAATATTGAAAAAGTCTAGAGTGGTTTGGTTCTACAAACTTTTCGTCTTAAAATAGTGAATTTTTACTGAATTTTTCAATAAAACTTCATAGTTCCTCTCAGATTACATTGAAATTTTACTTTCGAGTTTCGACTTGAAAATTTACATAAATAATGTTCTCAATGTGACTAGTTCATTCTGAAAGCATCAGCTTTTTTCGTTACCTCTGTCGTGTTGTGAGACTACGTATATTGACAATTTAGTTTTATGAAAAAGCAAATTTTGTTCTTGTATTCGTATCACACGCCAAAAGCAACAGAAAAGGTTGAAACTTTCACAATGAACCAGTTTTATTGAGAACATTATTTATACAAAGTTTTAAGTCAAAAGTCAACTTTCAATATGACCTAAGGGAAATATGAGGTTTTTGTTGAAAAACTCAGTAAAAAACCTATTTTTTAGTAATCTTACCAGTAAAAGACGTTAGATAATCACAGGTGATCAGCATCAACTGCGAGGGTGTAGGTGGCATGTGGATGAAGAGAAGAATTACTCTGAATCACCCACACCTACACGCACATCCGCACTCACACCCGAAATATTCATTCCATATGTGGAAGAAACTCTGTGTTTTTATTTTATTTTATTTTATTCAAATGATATTTTTATAATTTAATCAAGAATGCAAGTATTGTTCTATTTATTATGAGAAACATAGTATCTATGAAAGTATCTTTAATGAAGATTAATTCTATTATATTTTGAATTGTTCTTTGAATTCACATAACTTACTAAGTATGACTGATATTGAACACTGTTCAATAGAATATTTAACCCGTATCGTAAGGGTGTGGGTCTGGGTGTAGAAGAAGTGAAGACTAATACCCATACCCACAACCGAGATTTTCTGATAAGTTTTATATGATGCCGAGTAAATTATACTGAGTGTTCAGCAAAAAACTACAAATCATTTAATTTGTTATCATTTAGAATAAGTCGTTTTTCTGGTAAGACGGTTTAAGCTTTTTGAATACATTCGTAGTGCTTCCGAATAGTTTCTCACAGTTTTCGCATCACTTTCACCGACCCATCGCAAAGAGCGAATGATTTCTGGATGATCTGTTGAGTAGACTCGTCGTTCAATATTTAATGCATGTAACCAATATGTATTATTCTCGCCCAATTCTTGCATATCGAAACTGCAGTTACTGAGCTTTCTGATACACTGACTTATATTCAGTTGATCAACTGTGTCTTCTGTGAAAGTTATTCCGAATGGAGGTGACAACATGTAAATTGACGACAGTTCACTGTACGTGCCATATAGAGTAGAAGCATGAGAAAAATCCTTCAGCGCTCGTAATACAGACATAAACTGAGAATAATTTATACTGATTGTAGGTATCGTTGTATTTAATTTTAACTGATAGAATCGAAGAATCTTCGTCCACTCACCTTTCTTCTTATACATGGTAATGATCCAATCTAAATGAAGACCAAGATTGGGATGATCAGGTGACAAGCATTGTTCTTCCATTTCAAATTCTTCAAAGAAACACTTTAAAGCAAGATCTATATCACGTTTTGTTTCATGAACAAGACCAATGTTGCCAAGACATCTAGCAATATGAGGATGTGGGGCAGGCAAAAGTCTCATGTACATATGGTATGCTCGAGTTAACCAATCAAGAGCACTATTCAGATCACGCTTCTTACGAAAAAGATTTCCCAAAGCTTCATATATACCTGCTCTTGATAGTGAATCAATATTATGACTGTCTTTATCAATTGTTAGTGCGTGAGAATAATACTTGTAAGCTTTATTGAACTCTTCTTTTTCACAATAAATATTACCAATATTATGCAGAGAAGCAATAATATCAGCATGCTTTAGCGGAAGTTGCGCTTGACGAATCGCATAGGCACGCTGATAGTTTTCTAATGCTAAATTTAGCTCACCTTTTTCGTAATGTGACGCAGCAATGTAGTTATAAATAAATGGAACGTCTGAATGATTGGAAGGTAGACTTTGAAGTAATGTCTCGAAATATTTTTTTGCGTGCTCAATATATCCCATATCACGCCAGAAAAAGGCACCGAGAAGCACAGCCGCACTCTGATCTTTCATTAGCTCTTGAAACAATAAGTTGTATTCTTGAACATGATCTGAGCCTTCATCTGTTGCCGTCAATCTTACTTGCCATATGTTAAGATCAGAATTTTTCTGAACAGAATCGATTTTGAATGAAGCATCATGGCTGATAAGTACCTCTTTTTCACTCGGCATTTCACTTGTATCATAAACATCAGCGAAATCGAAACTGTTTAATGATGAGTCAATATGAATAATAAATAAAACTGCATATCGATCGTCAGTCTCTTCCATTCCTTGTCCAGCAAAAGCCAAAGAAACACTTAAATCACGTGAAGTCGAAAGAAATCCATTAGTAGAAATAAGTGTTCCTATACTTCTTTCTAGTCTACCAAATTCGTCTTTAGACATACGTTGACCTCGATATAATTTCAAAATTTTCTTTTTCTTTCCTTTATCACGTTGAATTTTCAACTGATCACAAAGATCTATGATGAAGAATCGAAATGCATAAAGTAACTCGATATTTTCCGTTCGAAGAGCCTTGTTCAATAATCTATAGAGAAAGCAATCTCGTGTATACCATCTTATAGCGTCATCATGTGTGTACGTTTCTCGAAATTGATCGATTTTCTTTAGTTCTCGTCTGTTGCCTCGATAATAATCCGTGCATTTTTCGATCATATCCTTTTTCGATTGTTCGTCTGCAGGTATTTGTCTAAGAATATAAATAAGTAAGTGATGCCAGAGAAACGCGGCAGATCCTCTTGGTGCATCGCGCAGTGATTTTTGCTTTTGATCAAACAGACTACAGGCATGAATTTGCTTTTCAACGAGAAATATAGTTTCCGCAATTGATTTTAATAGAGAATCTTGATTAATGAAGATTTCCACAATTTTTGCATATTCATCTTTTAGAGATGTATGAAATAGTTCATCGGTGCAAAAGATGAATATGGCAGCCACTGAACGAAGGAAGTGAATTGAAGGTAAGATCTCTTGAGCTAAAACGTCGGACGTAACTAGTAGAATATACCGGTTATTAAGTGTCTTAATCAGATCAGAACACGAACGAGCTTCACTATATAGCCGAACGTCTGGATGCAATTCAAGTAGCATCTCTTGTATAGTATGTGCATGCTTGTCGTCACTAATAGCAGCATCAAGCCAAACGAGACATACTGCTTCATGATTTTCAGATATTTCGATTGGGTATAAATGATGACGTACATGACCCACTCGTAACATTTTGCTAAAAAAGATTGTAAAATAAAGACTATGATTCACAGTACATACACCCACAAACCCAAGTCTTTTCCCCTTTTTGTTTCTATCCTCTTATACTCTGCATGAAATTTATTATTAAGTAGAGATATTGCATCAGAATTTTACTTCGGTGTAATCTGTACATCATAGAATGTGAGTGTGGGTGGGGATGTTGGTGTTGGCATGAGTATAGACGGTGTACATGTGCGAATAGCTTTTATTTTTGCCCGCACCAAGACCCACATCCACATACATTCACACCTCGGCTGAAAGTTGGGTAGGAAAAATGTTTGACCTTCTCACAGCCATGAAAAATAATTGAGACAGTTCATTTGCAGGAAAAATGCATCTCAATCAGAACTTTCTCTTCAGATTCTCTGACAGTGTAGAGATAAATTCAAATTTTTAAGCTCCTAAAAGAATTTTACAAATAAATATCTATAGGTTTGAAATTTTCTATAATTGTGATCTGATAAATACTGTTGAAAGGCGTGAGTGTAGGTGTTAGTTGGGAAAGGGGATGTGTGAATTGAGAGAGGAATCAAACCCACGTTCATAGCCACATCCAATCCCACGTCACATCCTCGATTCCAATATTGTTTTGATTCTTTCTAGCAACTCAATCATTCCTACGCTATGCATTTAACTTTTGAATTAGTTTGATTTGCTTTTCAAACTATGCTGATAAGATACTCACCACAGCGCAATAATATTACTCAAAATACTCGTAAAAATTCCAATGACTTGTTGTTATCAGTTTTAAATTATACGATGTATATGATACTATTTGCTTTCAGTACTCACATGATTTGTTTGTTACTTTCGGACGAGAGCAACGTTTTACTTTTCTTATCTTTCTTTTTTTTGTGTTTTATTTCAATATCTTTAACTACGAACTTTGTGAAGAGAAATTGCACTTATCAAAATTAAAACATTGGAGACGAAAAGCACATCATGATTGAATGGAATCAAGAAAAAAATCATACTCATGCAAGGAAGTTCATTTTGAATAGAGTCAGTACAGGGTGTGGGTAGGGGCATAACTAGAAAAACATGATAGAGGGAGCTCAGCCCTTCCCAGGACAATGATTACGACGATCCTAAACGACCGTTTACGGTCGTTTCCGGTGCCGTAAACAGTCGTAAACGCTGAAATTACGATCGTAAACGGGCCGTGTTTCACCCGTTTGGTAGCGACCGTATTACGGCCGTAACACGCCGTGACGTATACGGCGAAACACACCCACCATAAACACTGAAACCTGTGCCGTAAAACGGCCGTCTTTCGACGGATACGCTAGCGTATACGGCCCGATTTCGCCGTCAAAGAACAATGATTCCGAGCTCAGGATCCTCGAAGATCTCACTACGCCACTCACTTCAATTGAGATCTTCGAGGATCCTTAAGGATTTCAATTTCTGCCACACACAAACTGAGATCTTCGAGGATCCTTAAGGATCTCAATTCCTGCCACACACAAACTGAGATCTTTGAGAATACATAAGGATCTTTAAGTACTGTTTCAAATACCCTTATCTTGGGGTATTTTGAAGCGGCGCAAATGTGAAAAGATAGAAAATCATATTCTAATAAGTTTTGGAAAATGATTCATTCATTTTCAGCGGTTTTGACATTCAAATCTCAATTATATTGAATTGAGATCTTTAAAGACCTTTTCCAAATACCCTTATCTTGGGGTATTTTGTAGCGGCGCAAATGTGAACAGATAGAAAATCATATTCTAATAAATTTTTGGAAAACGAACCATTCATTTTCAGCGGGTTTTGAGATTCAAATCTTAATTACATTGAATTGAGATCTTTAGAGATCTTTAAATATCTTTCTTTAAATGCTGTTGTTTTAAGGAGTTTTTTGACACGAATGAAAAGTACAATGATGGAAAATCCCTGTATGAGTCATGTTGGAATGATTTCTTTTATTGTTGCGGTGAGAAATAAAAATGAAGTCTGGACCTCGTGAAGACTAATTGTTTTGACGATTATGAAGTACAATATGACGACTAAAGTGATGAATGAATTGTAATATGCTGTTAGGATCACTGAAATAGAAAGCAGTTAATCGAAATCTGTAGAATAAGAAACATTAGTGGCAAAATGCTGGAAAGTGTTATTAGGGCCAATGAAAGAATAGCTGTAAAATAGTTCCGATTTTTTTTAATTATTTTGTGATTTCAAGAGATTTAAATTTTTACCTGTAGCGTACCTGAACAGATGTGCAGAGCACCTGTAGTTTTTTTTGCAGCCACGCACACTGTAATTATAGAGCCTAATATTTTGTAGTCGCTGTTGGTATGTTGTTCGAATTTTAATGGCTTTTAATCTATTTTAAATCCATGTTACTGTCACCTGAGTCAATGTTAGAATGAACTGTGTTGGATTTGGCGTGCATTTATATAGGGTGAGGCCCGTCAAATTTGTAGCCGGAAGACTCGAAGATGATTTTGAGACTTTAATGATCTTTGTGTATCTGAAGACTTTTGTATGTGTATCTGTGGAGAGTATTATGTTGGAATATGGTTCTTGATGACACTGGTTCATACTAGTAGTACCTGAGCGCCTTCTACTACCTATAGCTTCGTGCGAAAGATGAATAATCCTCAACATTTGTTTGATTTGAAAGATCTTTTTATTATTGTCTGATTTCAGGAGATTCAAATCTTTTTCTGCAACTTACCTGTACAGATGTGTACAGTACCTGTTGCAGTTTCTGTTATTACTCATATTGTAATTAAGGAGATTGATATTTGATGATGTTTGTTGATCTGATCTGTGGATTTCGATGGCTTTTAATTGGTTTAAAATCCGTATTACTGCCACCTGAGTCGATATTAGAATGAACTGTGTTGTATTTGGCATCCATTTATATAGGGTGAGGCCCGTCAAATTTGCAGCCGGAAGACTCGAAGATGATTTTGAGACTTAAATGATCTTTGTAAAAATTAGAAGACTTCTATGTCTATATGCATGAAGAATTTTTATGTTTGAAGATTGGTATCCCTAACATTGATGCGTACTACTATCTGAACAGTTTCTAGTACCCTGAACTGCGTATAACCGCGAGATGATTTGTAACATGTTAGTGGTTTTAAAAAAGTTTAAAGTGAGTAATTTCAACAGTATATTATCATTAGTCTTTGCTGATTCGTCGCAGCTCTTGGTTTGAGTCTTCTGTGATTGCTTTTTATATTTGTGCCAGTTCAATTAAGTGGTCATTTACCTGAAAATGTAACATCATTATAAGGGCTATCGGTTGCTGAATAATCTGATGTTTTGTGGAGATAAGAATTTCATTTTTGGTCCTTTTTATGGTGTGGTTTTAACGTGGAGAGAAGACTCGATGTAGTATCTGACTTACATTCAGTCTTACTTGACATAGTCAGGCAATGTTTTGTATCTGCTAATTGACTGATACTTCTTAAAATTAAGATTGATTTTATGAACACTTTCGATATATCGAATGAAATGTTGTTAAGAAAATTGCATTTAAATGATTATTGTAATGATCATACTTTATAAATTCTGTTTCTGTTATAGCATTACAAAACAAAACAAGCAAAAATTTATCGAAAACTACTAGTAGAAACATGCATTTGGTTTTGTTTATCCAAATAATCGTTAAAATTTCCCAATTTACGGACAAGATATGAACGACGAAGGGATTTAATCTGCAAAACAGAAGTGATTTCATTTAACACTGAAGTTTTATATCCTTAAGACATAATAAAACTGAAATTCAGTGCACATATTAGTAAGTATCGTCGTATAATAAGGCCTGCAGCTGATCATAAGAACATTTTTGCTTATTGTAAGTCACTGTTGAGACTCTCAAGATACAACAATGCATTTTAATAATTATTTTATTAATTTAAAAGCTGATCGAATACCGTTTGTTACAGATACAGGTACTTTTGATACTTTTAAAGAAATGAATCGATGCTTCTATATTTGTTGCATTGTTAAAGACTATATTGGTGTACAAAGAAGGCGTCAAATAATTTGATAGAAAAAAATATAATTCATTTGGCTAATAGCAACTCTCTCATCTTGTCGAATATCCAGCCACAATGGTAAAGAGTTTAACATTAGAATACACCATAATGAAACGAGGAGTTATCAAAATATCATTTTAAATTGACTCAAAATAATTTTTTTGCTTCTCTGATTATTAATAAAGAATCATGTTTAAAAAAGTTTTCTTACTGAAAGTCACATTAAATTAGAAGTTAAAAAGCAATTTATTTGATCATGAAAAATTTTTTATTCTCTTCATTTTACTATCAAATGAAAGAAAACAGGTAACATGTCAAATCTATCCAAACATAAATAAAATTGCTTAAAATTGAGGGTGATGATTGTAAAACAAAATTATGTTATCTTAAATGTAAGAAGAGTTTCCAAACACTTTTCGTGTTCTTTCTATTCGTGAATACAGTTTTATTACACTAAATTTATTCTCACTTTTATAAAGCGCAGAAACAGTTTTAAATATTAATTGGTTTTAATTCGAAATAGAATAAATTACATTTGCCTACAGGATGATGTTATTTTATTTTAAATCAACATATAATAAACACATTGGATTTATTCAATGTAACATATTTGTAGCTAAATTAAACAAATCTTTAAAATTCAATCCATTTTTTTAAAATAAATCTATTCAACTATCTTATTGTGAGAGCATCAAATGAATATAATTATTTTTAAAGTTTGAAAAAAAATGAATTAATTTGTTGTGTTCCTTTTATTTTTATTCCATTTGGAAGAGAAAGTCAAACCTATATAAAAGTATCATTTAATTATTTGAATTAAATAAAAGCACAAAACATATTATGCGAAATTTGATCTTATTTGAAAATAAAAAAGAATTGATCAGAATTGACTTAAACAATATTATTTCATTCTGCGTTATAATAAAAGAAAATATCGAATTATATAAAAATTAATTGATATGTGAAAATAGT